GAACGCAGAGTTCAACATTGTGGCTGCCCGTTATGGAATACATGGGTTCCAATCGAACTCGTCGAGCATTGCTCATCTTATGGATCGAGCAGAACCCATGGATCTTAGCCTCGCTAGTAAAAAAGAAGAAGCTAAGCTTTACGCTGTCGAACAGCGTTCGAACATCCGTAGATATCTTACGTGCGGGAGCATCAAACATCTTCGACCCAGTTGTCCTCTGGAGAGGACCAGACAGCCTCATTCAATTTGACCTCCCGTCGCTGAACAACGAGTTGGTAAGGCGCGAGATAACGTCTAGTCCCAGTACGCGCGGGGCCCCCTGCTGGGGAGGATTTAGGCTCTGTCGTACCTCTGGGAGGTGATGGAGAGCAGGGCCTAGCCACAAGTAATTTAGTGATCAATGGCACGAAGCATGAGTAAAAGCCAATCTTGTTACTTGCTAAATCAACAGTAAGGGGCTTTGATAAGCCATGGTCGATATTGACTGTTTCCGGGACGTCGAGAAATTACGTCCGACGTTGTTCCCTGGAAGGTAGTCAGCAGTATGCTGAGACGCTAAAAGCGCAAAAGAATGAGAATATCACTGTTCGCTTGCAGATAGGTGCATTAGGCACTCTGCAAAAAGCTACTATGAGCTTAGGCGTGAAGCTTTTGGACTTTGACAGTATCGAACGCTGTCTAGTCTTGACCTAGATGAGAGGTATGATTTCATCCTTAGTAAAACATAGCTAGAACACCATGATCCATGAATTGATTGGAGATCAAAGACCTTAGGCGCAACCCGCACCGTTTCTGGAAGAGCTTCGTAGAAGTAAGCACTTACCCCTGCTAGGAGACAGAAACTCTATTGACGCGAGCCACGGACTGAGACAGAAAGTGTGCTGGACATCGGTATGGCTATAATTTTTGAGCCAAGTGATGTCAAAAACTTTAGTTCTGAGCCAAGCTCGTTGACTGTTAGTGAAACGGCACCTACGCCGTCGAGTGATAGTCGATGTGAGAACGAATCACTGAATACTGAATGCATTTTTGTTCTAGAGCCACGTCATCGTGGGTTGAACCTATCTAGTAAGCGTTGAGTGATACGTAATTAATACTGAGTGATGCTGGACGTGACTGCAACACACAGATCTTCAGTCAAGACATTGTTCGTGAACACCAAGTCATCAAGGGCAACACCCATTTTGATGAGCGTAAATTTTTAGGAAGCACTCAGTGGGTGATGATCTCACTGGAAGTGACTCATCACCAGATGTCCGTAATGACATCGGGTCTGACATAGATCAAATTTCGGTTGACGTAGTCCCTTATCTTGGTGATAGCGAAGTTCCAGATGTCGGTAATGACACCGGCTTTGTATTGGAAAAGTTAATGTTGACGCGGTTTATCGCCTTGTGGTCGTTAAAGTCTGGTATGATGGTGATGACATCTTCTCTGGTAATGAGCAACTTAAAGCTGATGGGCTTGTTAATCGTGAGGACGTTGATGTCCGGGGTGTCAATAATTACACCGGCTCTCGTAAAGAGTAATTAAATGATAACAACGATATCAACTTTGCAAACGAGAAAGTTTCAGCCTCTTTGATATTCTCAGTACCTTCACAGAGATCAAAGCGACGCCAGATCTCTGTCATGCAACACACGACTTTTGTTTTGTCTACGATCAATACCAGCGAGCAGCTACATACTTAAGACTATCTCTCACTGAATAATTCGTTAGAGCTAGACGATATGTCTGTCGGTGAGATTGGCCTGACCTTAACGTCAGGTGACTTATTTGAAGTGGTAGTCATTAGATCCAATTGTGAGTTGAGCCTGTCTTCACTTCTTGATGAAGCTATCTTGCAAGACACAAAGGCGGCACTGAGTGCTCGAAGTGGGTCATCGATCTTGAAAGATCGTATAGACCCTTTTATTCTTTGTTTAAAATTTAAGGATGTGGTATGTCACGATTCACCTTCCACTATACCTCTTGATCAAGGCATACGTCATGAAATTACCCTAGTTTTTGGGAGTAAGTACTGTGTGACGCGGCAATGACCGTTGCCTAAGGAACATTGTGACGTCATTGACGAGTTCTTTCGTGCAAGGAACGCGGCTGGCATGGTGCGTATAGGAAATTTCCGCACCCGACACCTACATATGGTGTCAGGAAGCCAAATGACAAGTGGTTTATTGTGCATGCTTAAGATAAGCTTAATGCAGCCACTGCACCGGCCCGGACGCACTCGACTTGGTCTATGGGTTTACCATTTGCTCATGTGAGAGAATGATATTCCACTTACAGCGTTCAGTTCTCAATGATGCTCTTGAAGTGGCTTGTTAGGCCTCAACGGATGTCTAATGCCTCGGCTATGTTTAATCGTATTGTGACGCAACTGTTCCAACCTCACCGAGGATATGCACAAATATATTCTGATGACATCTTTGTTTATAGCCGTGTAGATTGTGGTGTGTCAAATGTGTACAATCGCATTGACTAATTACTAGCAGTGCTCGAGTGCATGCGCACGAACAAGTTGTATGCACATGCATCGGAACATGTTTTCGGTGCAGAAGAAATAATCTTTCTCGGGTGCTTCATTATGAAGCGTGGCCTTCAAGCAGATCCCGCTAGAGTAACGTCTTTTGCTGAGTGGCCGGTTTCGTCGAACCAAAAGGACATGCATAAATGGCTCGGCTTTGCGAATTACTTGCACTAGTACAGTGCAAACTATGCTTACATGGCAAGGCCATTGACCAACCTCCTTAAAAAGGACGCGATTTGGTGTTGGGACTCGGTTCAGGCACACGCTTTTCGCGCTGTAACGGAGAGTCCCCTTCATGCTCTAATTTTGGCTTTACCTGACCCTATCTTTAATTTAGATCGTATAGGGTACTCTATTTCCTTCAGTATTATTTAATCTGTTTTATGTTCTTCGTTAAATGATTCAGTTTCAGGATAAATCAAATTTTTATATACGAATTGCAACCTGTTAATTCTAATTTTTTATAAATCAGAATAAATTAAAAAATGTTTCATAATTTTATTATAATATTCTGTCTATTTAGGATTATTTTTTAAAAATTTTGTGTGATGTATTTGATTAATTTGAATTTCTTTTCATTGTTTTCTTAAATAAATTTTTTATTTTATTTTTTATTTGTTCTCATTTCTTTAGGTTGAATCTCTCCTACAAAACTATTCGAACCTGGAACTAATTTTCAATTTTATTTAAAATAGATTGGATTAGTCAATTTAAAATTAATTTACTTTCCTTTTTTTATTGTTGGAGCGGTTATAATAGTTGAAATTTTTGCAGTCAGTATATTAATTCATGAGCGAGTCCTTGTGTATGAATCTCTTGAGCTCAAGGCTGCAGAGAAGTATCCAGCTCATGACAAGGAGTTACTAGCACAGAAATTTGCTCTTGTCAAACTCAGACTCGACCTACTTTATCGAAGCCTTTTGTGATCTGCACAGATTGCGTCGTTACGCACTGCGACACAGTCGCCTTACCTCTCACTGCGTATAGACCATTAATTTTCATTCTTTTCTGAATACCACTCCGAGGTGAATTATGAGCTGGGCAAGCAAAACATTTTGTCTGATGAACTGTCATGCAGACCTAATTATGATCTTGCGCATGTTACGACTCTGACGTCATTTATTGTGGGTCTAACATGTGCGGCTGATGCACGTAATGAGTAATGTGTAGCATTGCTACGTGTTCTTGGAAGCGAGAAGTTTTGAGGCTCGAAAATAAAGCTGTTGTCACCTTTACGTGCGAGCCTACATCTTTATGTCATCATTGGTGAGGTGTTGTGCTATTGCACTGATATTGAGGTTGTGCCTCGCATCGTTGTACCTCATGATGGGGACTTAAAGCATCGTATCCTGTTTAAGGATACGATGCTTCAAGTGACACTTCTATGGCGATCATCCCGGTCGTGAGAGGACATATGGCTCGGTAAGCCAAAAAAATTGGTGGCCTAAATTGTAAAAAAGGGTGAGCACATATGTGCGTACATGTGAAACGTGTCAGCGGGTCAAACCTTCAGCTCCTGCGGCTGCGCCTTTAGCGAGATTACCTGTTCACACTAGGTGCTGGGAGTCTATCAGTAAGAACTTTGTGTTTGACCTACTGAAGGATTCGGACGGCAACACAGATACTGTGGTCTTTGCATTTACCGTTTGAGCAGGATGGCTCCTTTAGCTGTTGTGCCTAATTACATCGTTGGTGAAAGTACAGCAAAGCATTTTATCGACCGTGTGTTTCGTCAACACGGTTTGCCTGTAAAATTGTCTCTGATCGTGATCCACGTTTCACTGGCAAGCTTTGAACTTTCATCTTCAAGGTGCTAAGCAACAGGTTGAAAATGTTCATTGAGGATCATCCGTAGACCAATGGTCTAACTGAGCGTGTCACCCGTTTCATTGGTAAAATGTCCCGCGATGCTTGTAGTTATTCGACTAGGTGTTGGACTTCGATTCTCCCTGTGGTCAAATTTGTGCTAAACAATGCTGCTCATGCCTCTCGTGCCTTACTACATTTTGTAGTGTAGTGTTAACGGAACGCGTGGGTGAGTGGGAACATGGATGGTCCCACTCACTCACGCGTTCCGTTAACGCTACTACTGCGTGGTTCTGGGCTTTGAAGAGGAGGAGCAGCCGATTGGCTTGCTAATGTCAAAGTAACAACTGTTGAGAAACAGGTGAGCGAGTTTCTCGCTATACGATTGCAATTCTTACGACATGTACGTGGCGTCATACCTGATAGCTAGGTCGAACAAAACGAACGACCTGATGGCAAAGGCAGAAAGTTTTGAGGATTATGAAGCTGAAGTCCTAGGCTTACTTAACGCTAAGAATCACCTACCAAGGTGGTGTCAGCGGTCTGCGGGACCAAGTTGCGTCCTGGATTTATTGATCCGTTTAAGATTGTGGCCAAAAAGGGCATAGCATACACGCTCAACGTCCCACGCAAGATGCGAACACATCCAGTGTTTGTGTTAGCTTGCTTAAGCCTTACCTGGATCCGTCGCTGGTGGATCACGAGGCGCTTGCGCCAAAAGAGTTGGCAATGCCACAAGTCGAGGGACTCTCAAGAGAAGATCCGATTGTTTCTTAAGACGCGCCACTCGGTCACGCAGACCGTGCACCGCGTGCACTAGCTCGTCGACAACGCGTCGAGATTCACCTACCACCCCCTGCTCTCGTTGACGAGCACGGGGATCAAGAGTGCCACGTTGAACGAATCCTGCAGCGACTTTCGTTGCGACAATCAGTACCAGTACTTGGTACATTGTCGGAAGTACCCGGAGTCGGAGAATACATAAGATAACGAACTTCCACTGCGGCAGGATTGACCCTACTCCGTTGAAGTTTTCTATCGTCTATAGGGTCAGCATTCCCATACCGCTACCCTTTAGTCTGTGTGGATGTGGAGGAGGCTAAAGCTGCAGCAGGTGCAAGTGCACTGAGGCGCGGGTTCGTGGCTGCTGCAGCATAGCGTGTGCAATAAAAACGGTCGCAAATAGACTTATTTCTTTTGTATGGATAAAGCTAAACGCATCTTTCTATCTAGCCGAACGTCAGCACGTGAAGCGACCTCATGGAGATACAACAGAATTGGTAGATGGCGAGCTCTGTGATCCCAACGCGTGAAGACGATGCCATTATCTGCCTCTGTTTCGCCAGGTAAGAGAACAATGGGTATTTTCCACATGGCGGACACCGACGCACCTTGTGCTTGCAGATTCAGCCTGTCAACGTATCCTTAAGCGTTTCTAAACTAGACCCCCAAGCATCTCGCTCTGAGATCCTTCCTCTCCGCCAGTGCTATGGCTGTGACAGACTTAGGTCATGTGGCAAAGCGGTCACAAGGAAATTTTTATTGGGACTTGAATTGGCGATCACACGGGTCGCACGCTTTAGTTAAGCCAAGAATGCTATGATTGGTGGATACAGGCCGGGACGGGTAGCTGGCAATAGCGTACCCAATCTCCAAGTGGACAAAATCGTACATACTGGGACGAGGCTGTAGGTTTGTCACACCCGTTTTGTTTACGTAATCCGTCGTGAGACAGGGCAAGACAAGATCCGCGATCTCACTGGAAGGCCGCGATCGTAACCCAGGATCGCAAGTCCGATCTCAGTTGCGATCCGCTAGTAGGATCACGATCCACTAGTAGGATCACGAATCGCTAGCAGGATCATGGGGATATCTTGGTTGGGCCACAGGAAGATACAACTGCTGATATACTGGGTGTGGACCACACAAATGCGAGGGGACGATCTTACTGGAAAGCAGACGCATGGCATCTGGCTAGGATATACGGACAGGCATAGGGGTAGGGTTTAGGTTGGTTGGTTAACATTAAGCAGAGTTCAGATTACTTCAAAAGGCACACGTTATCTCTTCCGAATAGGATCTTTTGCCCTTCGTCGAACAAAGAGTCGCGCTACACGTCTACGCAAGTGTCACACCAGGATTGTTTTTGCCAGGTGTGTTCTAGAGCTCTCAAGCGACATCAACTGCGATCGGACGCAGCAAGACACGTAAAGGCCAGGCGTAAGATCGCGAGACGGCTCAAGTGGTCAGAAGGCTCGCGGATCAAGCAACCACATAGTGGACAAGGCGATCTCGTTGAGATCAGGGTAACTTATATCAGTACCCACAAGTACCCCGTGATCGCGTGAAGATTTTCGCACGATCACAACCCCATCCCCAACACGGTCAAGTTTTTCCTTCGACACGAGTCCACCTGGAAGAGTGCAACCCGCCCTACCGACGGGTACAAAAGGTGAAGAAGGCAACACACACGGAATCGGAGCACCCCCTCAGTTAGTCGGTCGTCCGGGCGCCAGTGGAGAGTTGGGATCGACTCATAAAATGAGCGATCGCCACTCCACCACAATGGTGCGCGTGCTCGGATCTTCTGGTGACTCAGGAGTTCACCGTGAGTCCCTAAGTGAAGCAGTGAAAGTCAAGACTGAACCTGGGATGGAAGCGTTAGAGGCAAAGGGATCGCCTCCGACGCGTGGTTTTAAAGGATCCCCGGGTTACGAGAGTTTCGGGAGGGGCTCTGATGACAAGAAAATCATTAAGGAAGATCGATCAATCGATCTGGAAGATAAACCTCGACCCCCTCCTATGTCCCCTTTAAAGACCACCGCGTACCGTGCTGCAAAACACGATCCGCTGGGTGAAGACCCTTTAGCGAAAACTGAACAAAAACTACACAAGATCACTCAGGCAATGTCAAACAAGACGATTTTAAAGACAGATCGAGTAAGTAAAGAAGAGCCCAGATCGTATCGACACGATCGCGGCGTGAAAGCTATCGTGAAACCGATCAAGTTCGTGGACGATGCTTTGGATTTGAAGATGGAAGGCTGGCAGTTGGATCGACTGGCGCAGGGATTCCATTGGAAGGCGCTCAAGAATATGCTATCGAGCGACCCCGTGCTACAGATACTAAATCCTAAGCTAATCGGAGAGATACAAGGCCCGATATCCCGGCCGAAGGTGGCGACTAACGCAGTAGAAGGGATCGGCGCGATCATCCAGCTGCTGCAAGATGCTGGATACGTCGCTGGGGCGTTCGATGCGAACGAACTGCGGGAATGCGATCAGGATCAGGTGATCCATACGTGTCGATCGCTGTATGACAAGCGAATTCCTCTGACGGGATAGTGCAAATCCGCGGATCAAGCGGTTGCCACGGTCACCGATGCCCCGAGGGGATATCGTACCGGATCGTCACAATATGACTCGGTGGAATCAGAGATGGAGTCGTACGATTCCGTCGGCATATAGCGAATGTCTCTAGACCCAAGTGGTGCAACACATCTACGCGATCGAGTCGAGTCAGTGAAGCTAAATTGGCGATCGAAAGCCACAGGCGCTAAAGAGCAGATGACGACTACTACGCAAGGACGCCTGCAGACATACCTCGGTGAGGCCATGGAAAGTACTCACCAAGATCAACGGGGACGAGCGTATCACGCGATCTACCCTGGCCAAATGATCAAGCCTGCTTGATCCCATGAGAGATATATTCCCGATGTGGAGATGGAACTGGTGCAGTCGCGCATCAGTCAACCGGAGGTTTTCGACCCTGACGACATCGATCCCGATAATTCGGGACAAGAAGATCGTAGACACGCTATGGTTTTTACGAACGAGACGTTGCAAGATGGTGGTAGCATACTTCAACGCATTAGAGTGTCGGCGATGACCGAGCTGAAAGAATTCAGTCGCAAGGATCGAGATGAAGATCGGGCCAGAAGCTGGATCAGCAAGGTCAAATCGGCCTTCTTGCGCGATCAAACACCCGATGAGGAGAAATGTTTGGTGCTTGGAGATCTGCTTACAGGACCCCTCGAAACTGTTATAACCAATTAGGTCGATTCACGAGAAAGAAATGGAAGAGATTGCTGGATGAGTTTTTGTACAGTATGGAGGGCAAGGTGTATCTCTGGCCAGACAATACTATCTTGCACGAAAACGATCGCATAAAAATTTAAAGGATCCTCAAAACCGCCTAAATGTAACGGCTAAGCATGCCAAGATCGCGATCAGAGACGAGAGGATGGCCACATCGGACACACGTCGTGAACATGTGGAACGTTTCATTGCTACGTTGGACGATCGTGATCTGCCCAAGCAGCTGACCCTACTACGATTGGCCAATGTCAACGAGTTGCATGAGACGTTACGTGCATACCAAAGGATGGAGAGTCGTCAGTTGAAGATGTCTACAGGATCGAACAAGTTTTACCAGCGAGCGAATGCCTCCTTAAATCCTACGTCATCGAAGGCTGCTCGGGCAGTGAGGGCAATCCGTGAGCGGATCGAAAAATGTGGATCGGAATCGGACTCGTTTGGATCGGATGAAAACAAATATCGCCGCCGAGTTTGTGTGACAACTACATGTGGTCAAGAGATATCGGATCAAGATCATCGTACCTGGCAGAAGAATAGTGGTGAAGAAGATGGACGTGATCGAGGTGGAAAACCGAAGGCATGCACCCACTGCGGATCGACGCGACGTGATGATCGTGGATGCTGGCGTAGACTAACGTGCCAGAAGCGCGGTCGCAAAGGGAATCCGTTGGATAAATGTTTCTATGTGTAGCAGCATGTGAAGAGGTACATTCGAATGGCAAATACCCCATGGAAGAGTTCTTTAACTTAATCCACCAGTGGTATGTGCCTAATAAGCATGCGGGTATGTTTCCTCCAAAGGTCGAATAGATGTTTGACTAGAGCGCTCGCCAGGTTGGAATCTGGCACGAGCCGAGCGCTCTGGACTGTGCATAGATTCATTTGTTGATAAGAAGTCGGATGACCAAGGAGTTAAGGATCGGCGCGATCCGCTCTCTAATATGCGTGATCGTTCAAAACACACCTCTATAATATCAAGTGTGATGCAAGTGGACTATTTTTTTCGATCCCCGATGGAGATGGAGATCGATCTCACCCCAGGTGAGTCGAGGGGATACTGGAAGTATCACACTCCGCAAATTTGGTTCAAACAAGCGAAAGAAGTGGGCGAGATCAACAATGAGATGGCCACTTTTCTGTTTGACTCTAGTGCGGCAATCTCGAATATCGACACAACCTCTGCTCGTAAGGTTGGGTGTGTGATAGACGAGAACCAAACACAAGAATGGGTTGGGATCAAAGAGATTACTTATATGACGGTGGGACGGACCAAGATCAAGATCACACTGAATGGATCACTAGTGTATTATTTTAATGTCTGGGTTGGGTTCAAGTCGGTCAAGAAGCTATACTAGGCATGGACTTCATGGTTCCTGCGTTTGGATTTGGCCGACGGAACCCTTTGCCTGCCCAACGAAGTTCAAATCTGCCTGGTTGAAAAAAGACCACCGTACCGATCAAAAAAATCGGCGGTCAACATTATAGATCAACATATAGCCATTGCGGCCGGCAAATCGGCAGAAGTCAGGATCGGCGTCAACCCTCCTAAATCTAAGCTTTGGGTGCGACGGCATGTGGCGTGGATTCCTACCGTGAAGGATGGCCCCGGAAGTTTAAAATTCCTGCAGCTTACAAATGTAAGCGATCGTGACTTGATCTTAAACTGCGGGGCCCCTTTAGCGTTGTGGATGACAGAAAACATGATCCCGCGATCTAAAGATAAGTATCTGTAGCATCGCGGCGGTATATGGAATGGCAGACATTGGCTTTTAAAGCACAACTGATCGAGGAGAAGAAGAAGCCGAAGCCTGCACGGGCCCGTTGGTGGATCATCCTACGAATGAGATACCTACCCAAATTTTGACACGCTTAAAACGGAGATCAGACGACATCAAGGATTCTGCAGATATCGCCTCACTATCCAACTCTAATGGTGACTCTAATGAGGAGTTGCAGGACGAATGTACGAGTAAAAGAATAATGAAGACAAGAAAGATAGATCGACAATGAGATTATGTGCGGTCAACGCAGTGCGGAAGACGCCAGAACATTCGGGTGAAGAGAACATGGTTGCAGAGGAAGCTATGACACCGAAAGACAACCATGAGACAACTGATCCGCTACAAGTACAGTCCAACTGTCACCCAGACGGGATCAAGTTTGATGATCGGGAGGTGTATGGCTAGTCTACACGACTGGATGTGAATGTGAAAGCTGTTACGATCGACGGCGAAGTGATGAAATATGATGTACCGGATAGATCAACATACTACCGCGAGGGAGGTGAACTGTTCGCGAAAGATGTAGAACAACACATGGCTGTGCTGCCGGAGGTAATTATATCCACGACCGAGAGGACAATAGACGATGTCCAGGTTGGCGATTCTGGAATACCATTGACAGATGATCAAGAGGGTTTGCGACGACTGATATGGAGGAGTCGTCACCTGTTAATCGGGAAAGGAAACGCATTACCCCCTGTAGCATGCGGGGCCGTTTGTGATTTTGATGTGGAAGAGACGAGGCCGATCGCTCGCCGTGTACGACCTGTTGCGCCAACGTTTCGTGAGAAGGTGGCCGATCTGATTTAATCCCTGTTGACAGCCAATATTATCCGACCTTCGACATCGCCGTGGGCATCACCAAATGAAGAAGATATCCGATTGTGTAACGACTATCCACGAATTGATCAGTTAACACAGTTGATGGTGTACCCTATGCCACTTATTACGTGAATCGTTGCAGGACATGGACACGACAATGTGATATTGTTCGCTGGACATGGCGAGTGGAGTTTGGGTGGTAAAGACGACTGAACGAGGAAGATCGATCTCTGCATTTATCACGCTGTCAGGCTTGTTTAAATGATTGCGGATGCCTTTTGAATTGTAGAACGCCCCACAGATCTAACAGCGTTTGATTGATAATGCTCTACATGGTTATCTCAAGATCGGCACAGATAAGGATGAAAATGCAATGTTTCATCCTAAGTTAACTGATGTCTTTACTGAGGGAGAGCCGGAAACGGATTAAGCGCCGTCAGTGCTGGGTAGGCGACCATGTATTCACGATATATTGATCCCGGCTACGGCATAGACATCGTTTTACGACAAGTTCGAGAATAAATTGACAGCATGCGATCGATGGAATTTGTCGATCAGTCTGACAAAGCGTTTTTAAGGACGGCGTAAGGTGGATTACTTAGGTCTTCAGGTACCTTTGGCTGGGTTGGAGGCCAATCCTAACGATCAAGAATCGCTGGTCAACATTTCTTTTTCCACAACTTTGCGATCCATGCAATCGTTCCTGGGTAGCTTGAACTATTACTGTCGTTTTTAGAAGATTTTGTAGCACATGCATCTGTGTCGTACGAGTTACGAGAGGCGGATTTTTTTGGTGAGCCATATGGGAGATCATGATGCGATGTCGGAAAGTTGCGATAATACATTACAAGGGGTGAGCATAATCCAAATGAGTGATCTCGGTGGGAAAGGGCCGCCATTGCAAACACTTTGCTGAAGGAAAAGATCGCTACAACCCCGATCCTTAAACATTTCGATCCAGATCGACTTCCAGTGATCGTGGTGTATGCTAGTAAATGGGCAGTATCGGCATCTCTGTTGAAGGAATATGACGGCGTGTACTGGCCGGTGATATTCACGAGTCGCACACTGAATCCTAATGAAGTTGATTAAGGTATGGTGGAGAAAAAAGTTATAGCCCTACCTCGAATATTGGAAGTGTGCTACACCATGCTTGTATCTCGAGAGATCAGGGTGTTCACTCGATATTCGACATTAGCTTGGCTTGTTCAATCTTCTGACATCTATGGGAGACTGGGAAGATGGGATGCGCTGCGATCGAATTGGACACTGGAGGTCAAGAGATGTAACAAAGGAGAAGATGAAATGCTAGGCGCTCTCGCAGCTAGTATAATTCCGCGAGATGAGGTAGGTGATGTGTTTATTGCGATCGATCCACAGAAAAAACCGAAACAATCGTTGTCTATGCTACCTCCAACGGTAGGTACGGATGAATTCCTGTTGGTGATCAGTTTCGACGGATCGGCACGGACTAAACGAAGGAGCGAGGAATATTGTGCAATCGTGTGGAGGTTACCAGAATGGACCATCGTCTCAGCCGCTTCGGAATACGCGGCAGATCTGACGGTAAAAGGCTGCAGAATATCGTGGCATTTTGTCAGGTCTCGATCTGCTGGACAACAAAACCAGGGGACGAATCATTACATGTGGTGACTCGAATTTAGTGATCAGGCAAATGCTGGGAAAGATGGATTGTAAAGCGCCCGGGCTACAATTATTGCGTCACTAAGCAATGCAGAAACTTCGAACTTGGCCAAAACACGAGTTCCTACACATGAAGAGGGAGTGGATCCAAAGTGAGGATCGACTAGCCAGCGCAGCTATGCAGCAAGATGAAAGTGTCATTGTGAATTTAGATCAATAATTGCAAGATTTGCTTTCACTAAACAGACTACACGAGTTATTTCTACCGGAAAGGACGGATCGCGTAGTGAAAATGTTAGCAATCACACGATTCGCGCGGCGAAGGCGTCAACAACCCGAAGTTTAACAAGAAGAAATAGTGCAGCAAATGCGGATCGAGCGGATAAAACAAGCGCAAGAGGAAGAGAGCTGGATCGCCAACCTGGAGATATATTTTGTGGGCGACCTGACCCAATTAAACGCAGAGGATGCAAAAGTATGCACTCGGATCGCTCCAGACTACGAAGTGGGCGAAAACGGATTGCTGTTATTCAGCCCCCGATCCGCTAAGGGATCGGACGACTGAATAGAGATGGTCTGTCTGATTGTACCACAATTGTTGCAGCAAGTTTTTATGCACCATTACCACACAAGCTTGGAGGGTGGTCAACAGGGGATCGGGAGGACTTATCAGCGGATCAGATCCAATTTTCACTGGAGAGGATTAGATTGACGTGTACAACGTTATGTTGGCGAATGCGTGGACTGTACAACCGGGAAGGGTCTACCCGCAATCCGCGGCGGATCCCCGGGAAACGTACAGGCTACACTCCCATTTCAGGTGATCGCGATGGATCATATCCTATCATTGCCGCGTTCATTAAAAGGAATTACAGAACTGCTGCTGTTGGTAGATCTTTTCTCAGGATATGTTATCGCGAGAGCAAGTTCGTCGAGGACCGCGCAAACGATCGCCGAAGAATATGAAGAATGTGTGTTTCGAAGATTTGGAGCCAGTGAAGTTATGCGTCGCGAAAAGGAGCCTGGATTAATGTCCGACTTTTTCCGAGCAATTACTCGGAACGCAGGGCAAAAGCAATGTGCAACCATGGCGTACCGACCGCAAGCGAACGGAACTGCGGAGTGTATGGTACAGAAGTTGACTCGGTCGATTAAGTTGTACGTCACGGACGAAGAACAGAAATACTGGGATGAATATGAAGAAATATTGACATTCGCTATGAATACGGCACAAGATCGGATCCGTGGAGACACTCCATTCTATTTGATCCATGGCTGGGATCCAAGATCGACATTGGAAGCAACATTAGCGTTGGGGAGCACTAAAACACGCGATGCTGACCCTAGAAGGTGGCGATATATCGTCCAACGTCAAGATCAGAGGGCAAGAGCAGTGGTAAACGAACCTCCCAAGATCGCGATCCAAGATCGAGCGGCTCGACACAATGACAATAATGCAGTGTGTAATATTAAGTGCGGATCGCAAGTTTGGCTCTACTTGGACCGAGTCAAAGACGACTGTGTTTGAAAGTTGGCATATTTGTGGCATGGACCGTTCCAAGTGGCGGAGTTATGTGGGGAATATGCTGTTCGGGTGGAGATTTCAGGAACTCCATACCGATTGTTCCCGATAGTGTACGTCTCCAAGTTTAAGCCACTGGTACAGTTTCCTGATATCCCAGGCAGTGTGCTAGCGACTAACTGTGAGGATCGTGTGGATTTCGATGAGTCGTTGTTGCCGGAAGATAGTTGGGAAACCGAGTTGGCTGCTGACGAATGCGAAGTGAATTTTTTTTGGATGTACGATCAGGACGTTAAACTTGTAATGGCCGAGTGCAGCGACAGTTTCTGGTTCAATAGAACCAACACGACGCTACGACCTGGATAGACGAAGCGGACCTGAACTGTGACGCGTTAATGCAAGATTTCGAGCGCAACCGTGCAAGTCAAAACCGGTTTGAAGTTATGCAGTTCTATGAGGAGGAAACCGAGGATTAACGGGTAATCGAAGCAATGAGCGGTTGGCGCATGCTAATAGGTGGACGTGAAATGGTGGATATGCAAATGTACAAGGAGGCTTTATGAGATGATGGATGGGGCTCTATGTAAAATGAGTGGCGATAGCGAATCGAAGAGATCCGATCGCGGTTGAAAAGCCGAAGAAAAGAAGTTGATCTCAGGATGGTGAACAAGATGAAGGATCGAGAGAGATATTTGTGAATTATGGAACTATCTGAATTAAAATCCTATAGATCAAGCAGGAAAAACTTACCTGGCAATCGTACGATCGATGATAAGGGGTGGTCATCTATAGAGGATCGATACTGAGAACGCCAAGGTTCAGCGGCATCCAGCAACGGGAGAGCAGCGATCAAATTGGGAATGCCCCTCGGTTTGCAGCCCAGGCAAGGATTCAAAGGGAAAGCCTCTTTAAAGATGGGAAGTGCAGAAAAGAAGGGATCCAACAGAATGTCCAGATCACAATGACCTGCGATCATACCTAGCAAGATGAATCGAAGGATCGCCTTCCACCGAGGCATAGCTCGCGACCGACGCTGCTTCCGCTGTTCTCTTAACCGGTCAAGCTCAGGATCGCTGACCCGCTGTTCACTGGAAAGGAAGATCGCGTGCGTCGACTCCTATAAAGCCTGTCGGTTTCGATCCTCGAACTCCAAGTATAGAGAGGCGAGCTGGTCGTACCATCCGGTACAAGGGAAGGCGATCGGCGCAATCCGACGTGCGGCTGTCTCCCAAGGCTCTTGGGCGTGTAAGGCTGCGATCTGGGCCGAACACGCCAGCCGAGGTGTCCACTCAGATGTGGGAGATGGACACTTAAGCGCCATAATTGTCGCAAAGATACAGCCTTTGGGACGAGATAAGTGGCGGTACAGGAAGTCAATGTCCATCTCCGCGACGCTCGTCCAACTGGCCTTGTGTGC